TATTATGGGTTATTTCACCATTGTTATCAGCATTACTTTTAGGCCCTTTTTGTCTTATTGTTTAGCTTTAGTCCTTCTTCAGGTGTTCTGTGGAAAATGTACTTATGTTTAAAATTGTAGATGCTTTGGCTGAACTGTCTGACAGAAAACCTGACATTTGACTCTGTAATGTTCTAGGGGGAAAAAGGAGAAAAGGAAACAGCAGCTCCCATGGCACTCCTGTATCCTCTTAACATTTTCTTGTAACTATACTGTTTTATAGATGAAACTGTCACTGCAAAAATGACAAATATAACACATAAAAGAACAAAAATGGGCAATAAATCACAAGTGACACTCCAACCCATTGAAATGCATTCAGCCAGTGCTGCAGAAAGTAGGAAGATTTCCTTGTTTTGCATTCTGCCCAGTTGAGCAAGAGGACCAGAATCCTTGAACAATTGGTACAACAATCATTGGGGCCATCAAGTAAAAACAGACTTAGAATTTCACTTTGGAGAGTCAGATTCATTCTCATTCTGCTTTCCTTGTCACTTGGCCTTGCAACAGCATTGTAGTATGGCTTTGACATTACTGCACACAGGTGCTCATTCTGCTCTGGATAACTATCCACAACTCCCACTGATGTAAATGTTGTTCAGAAGTATCAAGAGATGAACAAACTCCTAATATCGTGTATTCAACCTGCAGACAGACACATCTGCACATAGCTTTGTTATTACTGACAGCACTATAGTCTCAACTAGGAAATAGTGGGTTCTACATTACCCAAAATAGCACTTCAAGCTTCACCATGTCAGAATACATCAAAATCAATGTTACATGGCTCAGGATGGAGAAAAAAGAACGTGAATGTCTGTCCAGCCCATGCTGTTATACCTCAGACACAATGTAAAGAACAACAAACCAGGTAAACAGCAAAACACTCCTTCTGAAACTCATGCTGCTGGTTTTCATTTTAATAAACAAACTGTGTTTTCAGTAATGCAGTATAAATCTGGAGTAAATCCCTTGACACAAAAAAATTCCATGAACCTGAGATTTAGTCAATCAATGATTTCACTTGATTTTTTTGCTTTTACAGTGGAATGGCTGAGAACAGAATCTGACCCAGAATATAGCAATAAATCTTGCTATGTATTGAATACACATCCAAAGAAAGCTGTGTATTTTATTATGCTGTTAACTTCATAATAGAGAATAAACCAACTGGGATTATTTTATGACTGCTTTTAACACAGTTATATAATATGCTGCTCATGTAGACCTTAAGGTATGCAGGATAAAAATCATTTAAGCTTTAAGCTTTTGCCACTATCTTTTTTTTTTTAAATAAAAAATCTTCCCAATTCTTAAGCATCAATTATTCTACAAAACTTCTGATGTATCTTGTTCCATCTGATTTGTACCAAGAATTTGATCTACGAAGACTGTACAATACAGAACTCTCTCTTCCAGCTGCATGTGTAATTAACAATGGGTAGTAAAAAGGGCGTTCTATGAAAATCAGTCTTAATAATATCCACTAAAGTAGTGGCTGCTCCACTAAATCACAAATGGAAAGACTTTAATTTAAATATAAGTAGCTCAGACATATTTCAACAATTAAGAAAATGCCTGAAAGAATGAACACCCTAATCATAATTCCAAGCATGCTATTTTATCAGAATGCAGACAGAACAAAATAGATGAGGGCCAAGTGAATACCAACTATGGCCAATTTAAACCTATTAAATGAAGTGTCTCTTACAAAATAGTGAAGCAAACTGCAAATGATTTCAGTCTTTCTCCGAAACATGAATTTGTTATTCAACCTTTAAGTCGAGATCATACAGTCACACGTATGTGGTGTGTACCTTCTACATGACTTCAATTGTACTCTTAAACCATATTTGTTTATGAAAATGGAGACAGGATCATGAGGGCTATTACACTTCATGTACACACAGTCTTTTTCCCTGGCTGAGAGGTGTTAAGATAGTTACACATTCACCCTGTTGGAGGATAGGGTCAATTGAGTGGATTTCAAGGATAACACCCAAAACTAAACACTATGCCCCAAATTTGAATTTCTTAGTTACTAAGTGATAATCAGTGATAATAATGTATTTGCTAATACTAACAGCACTAATTTCCCTACTTTGGCCTATACGAGGCAAAATCACAGTTTCCTTTACAGCATGTTATCTTATGCTACACTTACAGACACATACAATTATGTGGTAGGTATTTAAGTGCAACTGCAAGGAAAAGCTCCCTTTGCTATAGGTTGCAAAGGTGTACTGAAGTAAGGCGTGGCTGCCAAGATATTCAGAGCAAGTAGCACGCAATCTTATAAACGGAAGACATACAATTTTTATAGGAAAAAGGAAGGACAAAGGAAGGACAAAGAGAAATTAATAATGCATTGCTTATAAACTGTACCAGTAAGGGACAAACTGAGTTGATGACGAGAGTGGAGGAAATGAGTGTAAGTAGAATTGGCTCGAAAGCTGAGCTGTATTATGATATTTCTGAAGAGGAAGACCTTTCAAAATTAGTAACGATATTTGGGAATGCAGCCAAGATTTTAAATTTTCATTATGCAAGAAGCATCAACTTCCAACCTGAAAAAAACTGAAAATGCCAAGCCTGACCTCCCCACTGCCGGTTATGTATCTCCTCAAATGCTAAAAGACAAAAGTAATTTCTTGATCTCAAATGTAATTACTTTCGTTCTGAGCAAAGAAGTGAGGAAAAGGCACTGAACAGAAAATGCTAAGTGACATTATTTAACAATTACAGCTGTAGGGCTTGTGGTAACTACAGTTAGCAACAGTCCTATCCTTTCCACATAAAGAAGTCCTTTTACACGCAGATCCTTCCCACAGTCTTGGATTCGACAGGACAAAAATGTGGTGAGAATGTTCCTGCTGCCTCATGTCCAGTCCAGCTTCTGCAAACCTTCTTTAAGATAACATTTGGGTTTCTCATGGATACTGCAGTATCCCTGACTACTGCTGTACTGCCCTGACATTGAAAATCTGCCGAAGGGACTCCTAGACAGGATATCTCCATACAAAAACATGGAAATCCTGTTGCTGTCATGGGACACAATGACAAAGGGCCGTGTGAGGTTTCTTCACTCTTTACTGCAGTTGCGGCGAATGAGAAGGAGGAAGATGCTTCTTTCCTTTTGAGCACACAGTGTTTCACACATGAGAAGGCATTGGGAAAATGATGAGGGGATTCCAAAGGCTTTCTAATGCATTTCACAGATAGTCAAAAATGCTGTTTGCAGGTATCATTTGATACTTTCTTTTTCACTACAAAATTAGATTCTGGTAGAACAGATTTTTATCTTTTTTAATAAAAAGGAAAGAAAACTCACAGATCTGACGGGCAACCACAGACTGCCAATGCTGCCAGTGACAAAGCAACCAAATAAATACTTTGTCAACTATCCTACGCTAGCTGTATCTCTGCTCTCTCACTGCTAACTACTACAGTCATCTTCTTGTGGAACAGGCATATCTCCAGTGTTTCCTACAGCTATTCAGTTTTTCATTGAAACAAATAAAAACCAAAATAAGAAAAACATTTCATCCTCCATATGGAAAAATTTATAAGCTTATTTGAAGCCTGTGATGAAGAAATCAAAACTTGTTGAAGTTCAAGGATATGGAAGAGATCTTGTCTCTTCAATGCTTTATTTGAATTCTCAAGTGAAAAATAATTGAGGTGTAAAAATGTACGTGGACACAGATTCTGACAAGTAGCACTAACAAGAATAAGTTAGCATTTCCTGGCCTCATCCGAGGATGTTATTCTCGTTAGTTCATATGTTATTACACAATACAAATACACATGCAACAATTTTGCCGAGACTGACAAGGTAATTTGGCCATCATGCATCTCTCAGCTTTGTTATTATAACACATACCCCAGAATTAAAAGCTATAGCAAGCATGTCACTAATCCTCTTATCTTAAGCTGAATCATTTAACTTCCTCTTACTGACTATAGGAGTATCCAGACTCTAGGCACCTCAACTTGTCCTCATCTCTTAGACATAAGAGTAGCAACATATCCATGCTTTCCAAGTAATTATGCCAGTATTCTTGGAAAAATCAATGATTTTATCATATGTTAAATGCCAATGGACTGAGTCTAACTTCTCCTGTTACATGTTGCATTGTACTCACTTTGAAGTTTTTCATGCTCTTTGCTTCTGTTTGAAAATAAAAATCTTTACAAATCCCTGAAATGTTTTATGCATGTGTTTATTTTCTGGCAAAAACCAAGCAATAAAGATTTTCTGGTATATTCTGAGCCAACTTACAAGCCACACACAACCTAATAATGGTCTCACTTGCATACTGAGTTTACTTTCACTATTAGATTTTAAATCCTTAAGTCTTGCTCATTTTCACATGCCACATGCTAGGTTATTTTATTTTAATCCTAGAACTCATGTACGACATACTTAAAAAGGAATCTATTTTATTTCTTTGTTTTCATTTCCTTCATATTGAAATGTTGCCAGAAAATACGATCTTCCCAACATTATGCAGAAAAAATCATTAATCCACTAATACTAGATCTTTGTCCTAACTTACACATGCAACACTTGGGCCTAAATTAGTTAGAAATTCTAGTATCTTGATCTAATCACACAGAAAAAAATAAACAGGTACACAGATATATCTCTATATTCAAACTGTCAGTTAATTATGCAAGGCTAGATCTCTTTACAACATCAGGCTTGAAGGAACATTCCACAGATCACACACACAATGGGCACATGCAGCGGAGTTGTACGTACAGGGATGTGTGTGTAAGTTTTGGTGCTGAGCACACCATTCAACTTAATGGAGCTGAGGAAAAATTGATAAAGAAAAAGAAACTTTTAACATAGAAAACTGTTTATGAGCAGAGAAGGAAGAAACCATCAGGGAAAAGGAGCCAAAGAAAATGAGACAAAATGGGCATGATGACTTTTCTGTACTTGAACATCTGACCTGTTAGTTGGTCGTCGCCTGCAGCAGGGGCGATGCGAATGTATGGTGTTGTAAGCTGAGTCACGATTATCGCAGCTAAGGCAAAGGAAGATTTCCAGGTCAGCATGCATGAGGGAAAAAAAAGCCAGACTGAAGCTAGGCCAGCAAGAAGAATCTTGGTCAGTGGTTTATTGTCTGAACTTAGAAATAAAACCCAAAAAACTCCCACAAGTTCCTTTTCATCTTCAGTTGTTAGTTTGGTTATTCTGCAAATGAAGAAGCTTTCGTATGTGACTTTCCTTCAGGAAGAGGACTCAAAAGGACATTATTTACATAGAACGCATTTGAGGAAACTGGAGACTATGGCTCTGCTAGTCACAGCACTGAGCTTTCTAAGTGAAAGCTAACTGATTATTTGGATTACTCTAGCATGAACTTCTTCAGGTAATTTGAACTAGTTTCACTTTTTATTTTCCTATTTCTTAATACTACATTTTTCCTAAAGTTTTTTTAAGATAATTTTCATGTACTGCATTTTTGATCTAGTTAGGATTAATTTTTCTTGTGCTCACTTGGGTCTTTGTTCTGAAAATGCACACACTACACATATGCTTAAGGTTCAGCATAGAGAACAACCACTGAGAGGTGGCAGACTTTTGGTTAGTATGCATGCAACTGTTTGAGGTCCAAGTTTCGAGCTCATGTTTTGCCTCTAAGATAAGAAAAAATTGAAAACCCAGAATTGTTTACATTCTTGAAGTATCCAGACTTTTCTTTAGATCTGCAACAATCACTGTCTGCTTTAGGTAACTATTACCATGGCTCGCATTAATAAAATCTGTTATTTCTTTGCTTTCCAGCAGTTCTATGACTGCCTCTAAATGGTTAAGCACACTATGATACATATATATTAAGGAATATAAAAAAAATTAAAAGGTCAGATCCAACATGATGCAGCTGGAGAATGATGCAAAGAAAAAATATTGGAAAATTAAGGACAAAATTATATGAAAGATCACTCATTTACATAGAACAGCCTGGGTGCTATTAGAAATGTGGCAATGAGTGAGGAAAATAGATCATCTACCATCTGCAGACAATTAAACTCAAAACTGCTTCTGCATAATATTTTGAAATATCCCTCTGCAACACTGAAATGCAGTGTTGATAGTAGCTTCTAGAGTACTGTTGCTATTGGATTTATAATATTATAATATCCTTTTCTCTCTCATAATTAATGAAAGCCTTCCAATGCTGCAAAATTAGAACAATGATGTCTCCCTCTTGAGAACTGGATTCCTAGGAGATAACCAAGATGTTTCTATCCAGACAGTGCTGTAAGTCATATTAGGAAATATAGTCTTAATATAAATTACAAACCACCACAAAGTTCATAGTAATAAACTTGGAGGAGTTTTGGAATGTTTTCAACTTTGTCTGCTGAGATTTTAGTCATTTAGCTTGAAGAAAGAGTAGGTATATGAAAGCCATATTTCAAGCAATATATGACAACCTTTATTACCACTGGTACAAAAAGCTCTTCCTGATTTTTGTTTGTTTGTTTGTTTAATTATCTTGTCAAAAATAATAGGAGTGGAACCCCTGCAGTCTCCACATTTGTATATACACCAAATAGTCACAGAGGTCCTAGAAGCATTTCTCTACAGAAAACTAAGATCAGAAGACTCCACATCACAAGAGTATGCTGTGTGATCCTTCACCTAACAAAGTCAATGGCAAAGGTTTCCTTTGACTTCATCAGAAGCAGGAGAACTTTCAGGTCTACAAAACCCAGTATTCTCATCCTAAATTATACTTGCAGTCATTGCAATCAGGATTTTTATATGATCTCTAAAAGAACACCTTTAACAGAGGTTTCATTTGTAAAAATGTAATGTTAAATAAAACAAGAGCATATTTTAAAACAGTACAAAATGACATTGTTTTAAAAATACCTGATGGAATGAGAAAGTGTTATCCAGCTACTGACCCTAGACATGCATTTGACCCAGCAGAATTAGGCTGTATTTTACCTAGAGATAGGCAGTACTCTCTAACAAGAAGCCTTTCAATGTGATAATACAGAATCATAGAATCAACCGGGTTGGAAAAGACCTCCAAGACCATCAAGTCCAACCCTACAGTGGTTACTAGACCATGGCACTAAGTGCCACATCCAGTATCATCTTGAAAACCTCCAGAGATGGTGAATCTACCACCTCCCTGGGCAGCACATTCCAATGCCTGATTACTCTCTCTGTAAAAAATCTCTTCCTAATATCCAACCTAAACCTCCCCTGGCAGAGCTTGAGTCTGTGCCCTCTTGTCCTACTGCTGGCTGCCTGGGAGAAGAGACCAACCCCCACCTGACTACAACCTCCTGTCAGGGAGTTGTAGAGGGTGATAAGGTCTCCCCTAAGCCTCCCCTTCTCCATATGCTTCTCCATGTGCTACTCAATATGCTAAATAGTGCACTTAGTGTCTGATACAGAAACATGGTTTAGTGTCTGCCAGTTGAGCACATTCTTGAAAGTAAAGCCCATGCATTACTCCTGCTGACATCAACTGGAGTGAAAAGCATACTCAGGGTATAGGACAGTACTGCTGGATCTGGGGCAAGAACACTGCAAAATTCAGCGATAAAACAGAACCTTGATGATCTTAAGAATGTCTTAAGGGCACCAACAACTTCATTATCTGAAGGTCGGATAATTAAAGGAAATACAGCTAGCAAGTGATATACCTATGCTCAAGTCAGGTTCTGAACTGAGCAGCCTGAAGGTTGCCTTTGGTGACCTAGATCCCAGGAAGGGCTGCTGATGCACTTGGTGCAATCCTCAAATTCCACAGGAATAGAATTGAAGAAACTTCCAAGATAAAAGCAGACAGTTGCCTGCACTGCCATGCTTGTTTTTCAGGTTATGTTTTATGGCACAGGCCTTTATCCAGTAAAATACTTATATGTCTACTTTAAGACAAAATAGGTGCAACAACAGAGTCAGCAAGATTATTCTTTGTGCTCAAAATGACATACATAATAAAACTGATTAGGGCCTAAAAGCATATGGTTTCCCACATACCTAATAAAATCTAGAGTATGTCTACTAATACCAATGACCTACAAAAAGCTGTAGGTTATTTCCAGGGTCAGACCTTAATTTAAAAGAAAATTGCACCAGTTTTATACATAAATGGCCTAAAACACTTCCTTTTAGCTTTAAAAACCACCAAACTTGAACTTCTGAAGATAAGAGAAGCCCAGAATACAAACATTTCAGAAACATTATTAGTACACAAAAATGTTGCATTGGAGAGCATTCACAATCTTATTTGTGAGAACCATTACAGTGCATAAATAGATGGACACAACAAGCACATGACAGAGCTTAAGTAGCTTACTGTCTAGTAGCTACACTGTAGTCACAAAGCTCAGTGGAAAATAGTGCAAGTCTGTAAGAACTCTGACACAGTGGTCAGAGCAGCCTTTGCTTACTGCAATAGAGACAATATGAATGCTGTAGTAAACTGTCTGGTGTGGGTGGACAGAAGGGGAGGTGAACACAAGAAATTTTCTGCCTTGCACCAATGCAGGTGTGGTGACTTCTGACCTACATTCATAAACCCTTTTGGCTACTTTTTCTTGCCCAAATGTGCAAAGTCCAAAGAGGGCACAGAATTCTGCTTTTCTCTTAAGCATCTCTGTTAGATCTAAAGGGAAAACATCTGTACAGACAGGTATCATCGGTATTGTACTAAAATCTGTCATGGTCTCCATTTAATTATTTTAAATTAATGCAGATGAAAAATATAATACAAACATTCAATTTATAAGCATTGAAATCAGTGGTTTACAGAAGCCCCCCAAGAACGTTTTGTACCAGGGACTATGAATGACATTGAGGATACCTCTAGTTTCAAAGTCCTTACAACTGCCTCTCACATTATTTCACAGGCTTTGCAAAGGTATTATGAAAAATTCTGAAACATGCTTTCAAAACAGAAATGTAGGGAGATTTGTTTAAAATAAAAGCTACATTTCTCACATGTCCATTGCCAAATGGGTTAGCTCAAAGTAGCTTGTTGCTATGGGAGCTATTCAAATCCATAAAGTTACCCTCGCTTCTCAAATGAGAGAGTAAGAATTTTCAGTCAGTCAAGTAATTTTAATAGTGGAACATCCATTAGTGATTAGGAATACAAATCTTCAAATAATTTAAAATCCATTCCTCTAATCACCTATTATGATTTCTGAGGCAATGTAGTCCACTGCTGGTATCTGTGAAAGTACTCGAAAACAACAACACAGGATTTCACTTGAATCTGGAATTAATCTCTTATCTATATTATAGTGGATTTCAGTTCAGATATTTGAAAGTTTTCTCTGGTTTAGTAAGTAGAGTAAATTAAAATGAAAACTATTTCCTTCGTTTTGTGAAAAAAAAAAAGAAGACAGGAACCAGCTCAAAGAGGCATAAAAATGTGTCTGTCACACTAGGAAGGATCCAGGCTTTCAGCAGGGTCAGCTGTATGCTAACATTTCTGTTACTTTTAAGTAATGAGATTCTCATCCATCCCATTTAGACTTAGTAGTGGTGATGGAATTGTGAAGCCTGCATGTAAAGGAAATCGTAGTGGAATCAGTTGCATTAGGGATAGTCACTGAGACAAGCACGATCTCCCACAAGGTACAGCAGTATAGGGATGAAGGAGTTTTTGTTTCATACTCTTGCAAGGTACCCAAACTGCAAGGTGGTATTACTTGTTCCTACTCACAGCAGCACTTTCTTTCTTTTTCCTCCATCAAAACCTCCAAATAATCATACTTTCCCATCACTTCTTTTTCAGGCTCTGAAGTTGCCACCAGCTAAAGGCCCTAAAAAGGTGAGACTACAAAGATAATCACAGACAGATCCTAGCTTCCGAAGTTAAATAGATCAGCTGCATCTTTCCCCATTTGGGGATAAAACTTAAAGATAGCACTGCCTCAATTACACAATCTTGTCTCACAAATGGTAGTATCATGTGCTGACAGTCCAATAAATATAGCTGATATGAAAATGAAGATCACGGTTTCTCTACTTTTCTTTTATAAAGCAATTAAGATAAGATAATTGCTTATAAGGGGCAATTTTTCACTATGGCTGTGTAAGGAGCTAGCATGTACTCTCCAGCTGGCAATTTTACAATGCAACTATATATATAAAGGTCCAAAATATTTATTGTGAGATCATATAAAAACCCACAGAATATATTTTAAAACCCCTGTGTTCAAGTAGATTACCAAAAATAAGCAATACATTTATTATTAAAAACAAACAAACAAACAAATTTCCCAAATCTCAGCTAGAGACACAAATGACTGTATGAAAATTCTGTAATAGGTTTAGTGATGCCTTTTAGCAATATAAACAATTCTGGAAGTTTGCAAAGATTATGAGAGGGGAAGTCAGCAAGATGAAGTACAGAATACATGACATAATATGAACATACCTTTGGTGGCCACCCTGACGCAATCGATTTTGGTTTCCTGTGTCAAATAAAGAGGAAAAAGGTCACATCTTGTGTTTCTAAGTAAAGAAAGTCAGCCACGATTCTACTCTTAAAAGTACTGATAAAATGTCAGAGATATGCTAATTTAATGTGCCTCATTACATATTTAACTGCCTATTAGGTAACTCCAAAGTACATCCATAATATGGACAAACACTGCTTGAGTATGCTACATAAAAGTTTCACTTAAGACTCCTCTAAAAGTGGAAAATATATGAAAGATATTCACAAGAGCACAGGCAAGTATTTAGCTTTTTACCTTTGGCAACATAATGACCCTGGGAGATTTTTCTTTTCCTTACAGATAGTATAGTTTGAGTCATCATGCTAGACAATTTTAGATAGAAAAAATAATCAATGGTGTTTCACATTTCTGCACTGTCAGTGCACTGTGAAAGAGGGACCATTATGGTTTCTGGCAGAAAACATTTCCAGGCTGTCAGCAGGGACAGCCAAAGCTTATCAAGAATTGAAGGGCTCTGGGTAGGTCTGTCCAGGAAATGAAAAACAATTCCAGGAAGAATTAGTCCAATGAAACATGATCTGTGAGAATCCTTATACACACTTTTCAATTCAGTTCCATCTACTTCTTTTTGGTTTACTGTTTGCAGGAAGGAAGGTAAAAAATAAAAAGTGTTTTCTAATTCAATCAGAGCAACCAAATGAGAAAACAGGAGTTCAAGACATTACAAACTAAGGTAATGGGACTAGACATGCCAAGACAGATGTGCTAAAATCCACAATCAAGTTTGGCTTACACTTAACAAAAGAAATCACAACATTATCCTGTTCAAAGCAAGAAAGCAAAAACAAAAAGGAAGAAAAAAACCCCAGTCAAACACGGTCATTGGACAGCTTTTAAATAACAAGACAGAATGGTAACATACTACTTTGCCTGCTTGCTACTGACAAAACGTGCTGTTTTCTCCTCCTCTTTCCTGTAACCTTTAATCATTAAACAATATTGTGTTAGGAAAACTGCTATTTTTTAAACTCTGTGTGTTAAATTTCATGGTTACTTCATTTTCTCATTAGCTACTAAATTGGGCATCTTGCTAGTTGGTGCCAATCATTTATTTACACACAAATACTGTATAAAATTATGCCTGTCATAAGACTTACCCCATTGGCCCTGCTAGCAGCTTGAAAATAGATGCTGTAGCTCTTATGAGGAAGAAGAGGAGTGTTCCAGAAACCACTGTAGGTTTTGTTATCACCAATAGTAAAAGGCTGAGCAGCTTGTAAGCCATTGGCTGGGAATTCTGCAGCAAAGTAGTACTGGGAATTCAAAAGCGAGGCATTCTGGAAATGAATAGGCACTGGGTAGCACTTCAAGATTTCAGTTGTCTTTTTGGTCCTCCGTGGGCGTTCTTCTTCAACAACTATTTGATAGACACTAAGAGTGTAGAAAGGAAAGAACAAAAGAAACATGCTGGTTATTTTAAGACTTGGGCAGTCAACTCATTCTGAAACCATACTAGCATACCAGCAGTTATGGAAAGAAAAAGAACTGTTAAGAGCAAAGAAAATGTCATTTTTATATTCAAGTGTATGAATTTGTGGAATAGATTCATGCTTTTGAACAAATTCATTTTGTTTTGGAAAAACAAAATCAGCCTAACACACCACAGCTTTTCATACAGCCAATGCACAGAACATTTTCTTGTTCAAACTCTTGTACAGAAGAAACATGCTTAATTAACGCTAAAATGTGGAAGTACAATTTTGTTCACGAAAGTAAGTATAAAGCTAAAGATTCCATTCTCTAACCTGCTTATCTTGTATAAACAAAACGAAATTAGTACTAAGATAAAAATGAATAAATAAATTCCAAAGAGACAGGGAACAGTACTTGCTTAACTGCTAACATCATAACTATTTATAAAAGCACAAATAGAGTAAAGTAAAATTCCTGTGGCATATTGACTATTGCTGAGCAAGAATAAAACACGTTTTGATGGAAGTTATTCTCACTCAGCCAAGCATTTTTACACATCTTACAGATAATCATACTTTTAAGTGTTTCAGCATTCTGCAAAGCAGTTCAGTTTGCACTTGCAGTCTTTGGTGTACTGGGACCTATGGAGAACAGTCCATCCCTCTCCACTGTAAAGGTGCTATGGACATTCAAGTAGGAACAAAGAAATTGCAATTTCTGCTGTATATGCAAACAGTGTAATCATTATACTCTTGCAGTTGCTGTAAAAGACTGAGTCAGTGCTTTTAAATTCGTGAAGTGGGAAGTCCATGTCTCTAAAGAGGACTGGCTTGCAAGTTTATTGCTTCACTGGGGACCAGTGATTTTTAATCAGTATTTGTCTCCTGGAATCTTGAATCCCAGCAAGCAAGTCAGCCCAGGTAACTGAGGTTAAAGTGGCAATGTGTCCATACTTTTGCACATCTACATCCAATAACGATTTATGATGTTTCAAGTTGAAAGTTCATAAAAAGCAGCTATCCTTGTGTAGGGTAATTTATTTAAAGAAGAAACAGCCATACAATCTGCTGACATGTTCCCATGCTGTCATATGCAGGTAGAGGATTATGCTTGCAGAAGACTGTGCCCAATGTACAGGGACAGTTGGGCTGAGTCTCTGCACATCTGTCTCAGTCTGGACCCAAAAAGGGTTATTGGCTCAGTCATATCAGTGCTATGGCTATTTCCCTTCTGAAGGCAAATCTGGTTTAGAAATAAAGAGATGATTTTGTGCAGTCACCAATGCAGCTCATAACCAGTGAGTTCCTACATCTGCTGGGGTTATGCTAGACTCAAACTGCTTTGGGTGCTGCCACAGAGCTTTCCAACTTTTGTGCCCTCTGGAGCCTTACCCACTCAGTACACAACCAGACTCATATACTGCTTCTACACAGGAACTGCCTTTACATGTTTAGATAATGCTGTGTGCTTGAATTATGTTCCATGAGTGAAACTGTTCTAGGATAGGATGGATGGGGCTTTAAGCAACCTAGTCTACTGGAAGGTGTTCCTGCTCACAGCACGGGTTCAGATTAGATATCTTTAAAGGTGCCTTCCAACCCAAACCAATCTATGATCCCGTAACACCATAATGCTGGCCGCACAGAGTCTACACAGTTAAATATCCCCAGCAGGCAGAAAAATGCCAATTCTCTTGTCCTTCAAACTGTTTTTTTAACCAGACTTACTGATAATGTGCCACAGCCCCTGCTCGCTATGTTCGTAAGTTCTAGCATCTCCACTAGGACATGCTGCACTTCTATGCTCACAAAAACATGTCCAGAAAGTTAAGACTGAGATTGTTTAAACACCTGTTCTTCTGTCTGAATTAGACTTTTATCACAGTGTAGCTTTAGTTTAAAGTTAACACATTTAAATCTAACTGCCTTTATGAAGGTATCTACAGATCTTAAAGCAGATAGGAGGTGTCTACTTTTGGGTCAACTTAATTGCTTCCCAGGTGCCACTGATTATAATAACTAAATACTCAGTTCCCATGTAGACATCTGTTAAGTGGACACCTAGATTTAAATGTTTTAATCCGCTGCTGAAGCCCATGCAGAAATCTAACCATGCAATAAGTTTAGTACAGCCAGGGAGACAGAGAAAAGTCTTGAGGGTCCACTTCAAGGCTACTGTCTGTACATTTTGCAGCTCTGTGCAACAAAGTTTTCATAACTAGCAGAAAGATTTTGATTAGCTGATTAATTCCACACTGAGTAGCAAAAGAAGGTCAATACATGGCAATCTTTCTTTGATCCTGTGAGAACTGATTTGTGAAAAACAAGCCATGAAATATCTACATTCCAATCTTGTTTTTCTCTTCCAAATCAATTTTTGACATGATTTTAGCAGTTAATTTTCTAGAACAAAACAGAGTTGCTTAGAACTGGAATTCCAAGCTACTTTGAAGACAGCATGTTGCCTCCTCTAACTACTAATTTACAGTGAATCTACAATAAATACCATTTGCAAATTTAAATAGAGTATTTGGAATAAAAAGCAGAAGGTGATATAAACATCTATTCTTGCAAGGCAGTGAAGCTGGATACTCTTGCCTAATACAGCAGCAAATATAAGAACCCCTCACTTTCACTAAAGCACGACGGATGGTAAACTAAGCTACTTGGCTGATGCCTTAGGAGAGTACTGTTACCTTTTTTATTGCATCAGGACTGAATGTAACAGGGATCTCAGACCAGATGAGGTACTATGACCTGTTTCAGTACTGTTTGAAATGAGAATTCTCTTCATTTTCCACTCAGTGATTAAAACTAAAGATCACAGATATTTTAGAAACAAATTGATCATTAAAATGCTCCTTTTCCTATACTAAATTAATGTTCAGTTATACTACATGCACTACTCCTTGAATATATTTTAAATGACTGCCATCTATTCATTTTAAGATACTTCACAGAACGAACTACGTTGACTGGAGCAATTTCAAACTCAAAATGTCTTTTAATCCTTACTCCACAAGACAAATTAGATTTGCAAGCATCTAGACCTCAAATCTATTTGCTCTTTAATAATTTAAGCACTGAAAGGTCAAACAGCTCTTTTCTGTTCCCCTTCATCAAAGTCCAAGTGCTAATGAAAAATAACTAAATCCTATCTGCTGGCCAGTTTCCACACATTGCTGTTTCTCTGATGTAAATTAACACATTATGAGCACCTGGGTCAGTGGGAGCCTGACAGAACTTTATGAGCAATACTTTTTACATTTGTACAAATGAGATCATCTTGCTAATGAATTTTACAAAATTACCCCAATTACAATTATAATCCAAAAGCTTTCACTAATTCTTACTGTTAAAATTGCTTTCTTTAATATGTAACAGCTGAACTTCCTACTCTGAAAAGGGTTCAAGCTTAGTGAATTGAGCTAGCACTGCACCAGGACTCGATTATTCCTCCTAGGTATTAGGCAGATTTCCTGCTTGTTTGAAGTTGCATTATTCCTTTTCCACACCTCTACATTTCAGAGAATAAAGTCTTCCTATCTGTAATCCAAAAAATAAATTCTACAGTACAGTGAAAGGTGCTGAAGGCGTATCAGCTATTGGTAGAATTTAGACTGATCTTTCTGAAGGAAAGAAATGTCATTTAAGTTTAATTCACGTTATGCAGGTCTACTATAGAATTCCAATGCCTTGGAAGTGAAACACAAAATCTATTTTCAGTCTACATAGACTGAAACTTACTGTTGCATCAAGAAAGGAACACATAGGAATTATTTTTAACCTAGTATTCAGATATTTCACATTCAGGGATTAAAAAAGGTGTATGGCAAAAGAAAAAATTATATCATTTTTAAGCTACTTTTAACAACTCTAAACCAGTTCCAAATTTATCCACACATACAGATCTGACCATAATAACTTTAATTTTTGTTAGAAATTAGACATAGTAGGCTTCTCAGACAGTTACTGAAATTGGATTGCTCAAATTGAGATGGTTTGCCAATGCCTGATAAATATACCAACAGGAAAGAAGAAAGAAAACATGTTAACACAATAATAAAAGAGGCTTAGAATATTTAGACAAATGAACCAATCAGACTTGCATGTGCATCTATTCTTATATACATAAAATGATGGATTTTAGTAACTTCCCGGAACAGGACATTATTCTGCATTACTGGAATGCAGCAAATCAAATTTTAATTAATCAAAGTCTTGTTCAAAGTTACAAAATAATTTTCCACGAAGGGCCTACTGGGCACAAGCATGGACTTCGGGAGTCCTCAACATGCACAATCTAGGCATTTATTAATTGAAATTTATGAATTTATAATTACACCTCCACCAAAAGTATTCTGAAATTATAAACAAGGAGAAAGCAAGCATTAAGTGTCAGATGTATTTTGTCTCTCATTATCTGAATTTATTACGAGTCTTAATGCAATGGTGGTGCGTTATCCTAGGCAAATCAATTAAATATTTTGGGCCTCAGATCTCCAGCTGTAAAATAAGAACAGGAAACTTTCTTACTCCCTCTGGCCTGCTTCAACTATTCAAAACTAAAATCTCTTCAAGACCTTCATTTTTATTATCCTTGAAAAAAGGTTTTATTTCCCTAGGAAATGTACAAAGCCTGTAAAACTCTTAAGCTCCACTAAGAGTGCCCTGATCAGCTGTGTAAACTGCTGGACTATCTTTGCAGACTGTTGCAGTGACACTCTAGAGCCTAGTTTAAAGTTTTCTGTTCATTGTAATAAGTCTCAGTCTTATGCTTTATTATAAACATACATATCTGGTACTTTTTATAGATCTACTTCTGTATTTCTCCTTGCATACTTGCAACAGAATAATCCACATATTGACTATTATTTCAGTTACTCATTCCCATAGCCTTACTAGATACATGCATGCTAGAATCACTTCACTGCATTCTCCTACTAAAACACCAATATC